AACTCAAACAGAACATTCCCCAACAGAACTTGTAGGCAACCCAGGTCTAGCACATGCATCAAGTCGATCGTTACATATTCGATTGAAAATCCTGGGATGTCAAAAATTGACGAGAGCTCGTGTCCCTCAGCAAAAACCCAAATCATGAAAGATTCGTGGTTGAGCATCGTCGTTCTCCATGCTGCCGTTGCAGAGGCATCTGTGAAGGGCAGTTTCGGTCCTCGTTCAGCGTGGCATTTCCAGCAGCACCTCACGTTTTTCTGGTCCCCCCAACCTGGGCGTCAAAATTGCACTCGCCCCCAACCCTGGAATTGAGAAGCCTTTTTATTGGTGGATGCGTAGGGGAAGGGAGGCGGTACAATTTCAACAGCCGCGTCCTGTGAGAAACAAGCACTGCTTCAGCCATGCCCAATCTCCACGCTTTTGCAAACAACATCCCCTTGCACGAAGGGGTCCCTGACGACGAGCACGATCTCGATCACCTTTGAAACCAGATTCGGCAAAGGGTACACCATCGTGGCGAACTGTTGGATGGAACCCCGAAAGCATGACCTGGAACGCCCAAGCTAGCACAGCCCAAACAACTTCAAATGTGTGTCTGCCTCGGCAGCCACAGTCGCAAGTCATTCGTTTCGCCCAGCCACAAAACCTATGACGCTTATGTGTGTTGCCAGACACGGCAGAGTAAGTCAAGAGATACAAGGAATCTCTAGTCAAAAACGGTGCCGTATCTCCCCATATACCCCAAACGACGGTGTTCTCGACTTCTTCCACTGATAATCTGAGGTCACGGCCGTTGGCCCAGGTCTGTCGTGTCGAATACAAAGGAGCATCCGGTTCAATGTGGGACCAGTCAGAAATTGGCCTGGCGTCCGTTTCAATAATCTCCCACGGCAGCGAAAAATACATTGTGTCATTGAACTGTTTTTGCTTTTTTTCGTCCCAAAATTTTCCAACCGCGGCATACACATCTGGACGACCCGATTCTCTGGCAAGTTTTTTTTTTACATTCCTTGACGCATTGGCCTCCCAGCTGGCAGGGCGCTTGGACGAGTCAGCGCCATCGGTCAGTTCCACAACGTCTTTTGCACTCAGCTTTCCTTTTTTGAAACGGGATCTAGCAAATTCGTTCGACCGCTGCTCTGCCGAAACAGGACCGTCAACCTCAACCTCGACATCTCGCTCACGATTCAATTGCTGAAGGCGCTGCTTCACACCAGGCATGCGTTGCTCGAACCAAAAAAGTCTACGCTGGGATGCTGCCCCTGGCCCAACGCGACTCCTCGCTTCCAGGGGCAACGAAATGTGCGAGAAGTGTGCCGAAACGCGCGTTGCCGACATACCCTCGCATCGTATCAAAGTCCGCGCTCCCCCGTGCCGCGGGGGAACATGCGTGAAGCCAGCTGGGCTCTTCACATAATTGTATGTGTATGCATCCATACATTTGTATATACATATGTATAGACATATATACATATATATATTTACACATATATACTTATATATACATATATATATAGAGAGATAGATGTGTGTGAATGTGTGTGCGTGTGTGTTCCCATGTGCTGTGCGTTCATGTACATGTACACATGCAACTCAAATCATCTAAATTTTGGTGGTTTTGCATCACACACTAAATTTTAGAAGTGCGCCTCCAAAATGACATCAACCTCTAAAATTTGGAGGGGAACTACCAAAAAAATTAGAAGTATCTAAAAAACAGGAGGTTCTGATGAGCAGGGTGTGTGTGTGTGTGTGTATCTCTCTCTGTGTGTGTGTGTCTCTACGTGTGTCTCTCTGTGTGTGTGGGGGAGACGGAAACCCCGAAAATATGTGAAAGGATGGGGGATCTTGGGATTTGTGTGTATATCTCTGTGTGTGTGTGTCTCTGTGTGTGCTTGTGGGCTCCTTCAGACACGGCGGCCCTTCGGAGGCCCTTCGGAGGCCCTGGGCCCGCCGCGCGCGCGCGAGGTGCCCGGCGCGGACCCCATGGGCGTCGACGCGTACGTGCAGGCCGCGACGCCCAGGGGGGTGGGAGGAGATCCTCCTCCTCGTCCTCCTGCTTCTCCTTCCCCTCCTCGTCCTCCTGCTTCTCCTTCCCCTCCTCCTCCTCCTCCTCCTCCTCCGCCTCCTCCTTCTCCTTCCCCTCCTCCTCCTCCTCCTCCTCCTCCTCCTCCTCCTCCTGCCCTTCCTCTCATGGTTCCTCTGCTTCGCATTCGGCATCAGCGCGGTGGCCTGACTTTCCCTTAGGAGCCCGCGCGGTCTCGAAGATGCTTGTCAGCCACGCTTTACCTCCTGCCCGTCCTCTCCTTCCTCCTCCTCCTTCTCCTCCTCCTCCTCCTCCTGCTCCTCCTATTCGTCCTCCTCCTCCTCCTCCTCCTCCTCCTTATCTTCTTCCACCTCCTCCTCGTGCTCCCCGCCCCCTCTCCTCTGCCCCCCCCTCCTCCCCTCCCTCCCCTCCGTCGCCACTTTGGCTCTCAATCTATGCTTCGCCCCCTTGGCAGGCAGCGGATGCCGCTGATCCGCGTCAGACGACGACTTCCCTTCCAGGGGACCACGGTCCTGCATGCCAGGCACTAGGGGGCCCTCCCTCGCGCACTGTGTAGTCATAGCGGGAGGCACGAGCAGTTTCAGCGCTGACTATGTTGTTCATGAGAACGGGCAGCATCGGTTCAATCATGCTGATGTCATGCCTCGCTTCATGTGCGGGGGCCACGTGACGCTGACACGGCGCGCGCCCTCAGTGCTAGTTGGTGGCGGAGGTCACGGGGGGCAATCAAGGCCCAGCTGCCGAGTTCCTAATTGGTGAGACCCGTGTGTCAACGATGGTGGTTACAATAGTGGCATGTTGGTTTCGTCGGCCATGCGCAGGCCTGCCTGTTATCCTGGTCGGTACTCTGTCGGTCCTGCGGAGGCCCTTCTCGAGGCATGGTTTGGTCTGGCGCAGTTACGTCAGCATTGCTCTATGGCTACTCTGGCCCAGTGCAGGCCTGGCTGTGTACTGCTCGGCCCTGTGCAGCCCTTTCGCCATGGTAGGGTGGTGGGCAGCTACTTCATTATTGCACCCTGGTTTCTCGGGCCATGTGCGAGCATGGCCACGAGCAGGTCTGCCTTGTGACATGGCAGGCTGCTGCGCCTCTACCTCAGTGTTGCAGCCTGGTCTCGCTGGCCCCGTGCAGGCCTGGCTGGATCCCCGCTGCTCCCGCGCGGACCTCTCTCCAGCCATGGCGAGGCTCCCTGGCATTGCCTCCTCCTGCGGGGGGGGGGCCATGACGGGGTGCTCGGGGCGCTGGGTTGGCGGAGCGGCCGCCGTGGATGGCCAGCCCCCAGCGCCAGGCTGCTCCTCCAAGGAGGAGGAGGAGGAGGAGGAGGAGGAGGAGGAGGAGGAGGAGGAGGGGGAGGAGGAGGAGGGGGAGGAGGAGGAGGAGGAGGAGGAGGAGGAGGAGGAGGGAGGAGGAGGAGGCCCCAGCGGGGGAGGAGGAGGAGGAGGAGGAGGAGGAAGAGGAGGAGGCCCCAGCGGAGGAGGAGGAGCGGGAGCGCGGGATCCAGGTCGGACATGGGCCGTGACGACGGCCACCCACGATACAATAAGGGGGGGGGTGGGGGCGGCCCGCCCAGCGCCCCCATCGTGCTCGACGGCTGCTCGCTGCACGTCAGCTCGAGCGTGCTGTTTTTTGTTGCTTGGGGTATAGTCGGCATTTATAGCACCCGGCCCCCCCTCCCCCCTATAACGTAACGCCCATCCCCCCTTGTCCAGTGCGCTCCAGGCACTGCCGCGTGCGTTACCTTATACCCCCCCTGCCCCCCCCCCTTCTAACGCCCATTGTCGCCGAAAATAAAGTGACGCGCTCCTCCTGATTGTTCGTGCTCCGAGCTGGCGGTTGCGCCCTTCCCTATTGGCGTTCGCAGACGGCAGCAGCTTGCACGAGGTACTTCGCACGTGGTGCTCTGTTTGTTGGTCATGACGGCGTCTCGTTCGTCGGCCACCTCGGCGGAGCCTCGCCAGCTTGCCTATCCATTCGTCTTGGTGTGCTCCAGCATCCTTGTATGTATGCAAGAGCGTCCCAGATTGCCTCTGATGGTGCTTCGTCCGGTGGCGCTACGCACTCAAAGCCACCAGCGCATCCCAGACTGTTCATCCAGTCGGGGGCGCTTCCTCGACTGCGACTGGCACGTCCTAAACCGTGCTCTTTGAATGTTTCAGGCCTACCTCGCTTGACGTGGTCCACAAACTGCGTGCAGAAGCCGTGCTGCCAGCGGGAAGTTGCGGAGTGCAATGATTCAGAAATCGTAGAAGACCGTTGCTGTTGACTTTCACATACTTTATAACATGAGCAACCTAATCAAAATTTCAGAAATGTAGAAGGAAACAACACATGTTGAAACACACAATGCTCAAAACATCACATACAGGAGTGTCATATGAATACGTTGACAACACAAAACACGACATCGTGATGACGAGTGGGAAGGGGGAGCGTGAATCTCAGCCGTGGCAATGGCGGCATGCTGGGTCTTCCCTCCTGCATCCTTTTTCTGCCTCCTTCTTCCCTCCTCCCTCCTTTCCTCCTCCCTCGTCCTCCTCCCTCCTCCTTCCTTCCCCCTCCTTCCTCATTTCCTTCCCCCTGCCTCCTCCCTCATTTCCTTCCCCCTGCCTCCTCTCCAGCAGGTCGCTTCGGGGTTGCCTGACCAGCAGCCGTGGCAGCACAGCTGTCCTAACCCAGCCTGCCGGTTTCTTCCCTAAATCCTTTCAGCTCTCTCAGAGAGTTATCCTGGAAAACCCTTACCTCCTGCTTCCTCCCTCCGGCGCACTGGGTGCCGCCATGCGCCTCGTGGGCCTTCCTGACAGCGCGGAAAGTGGCGCCGACCACGTTTGGGGAAACTATCCCCGGCAACATTGATCCCAAAAAGTGGTCTCCCCTCCAGCGACCAGCTACGCTTGGACGGCGCTCTCAGGCATTGCTCCACTACTCGAGCTTTTGTCGGCCTTGTGGCCATCCATGCTCACGAGACTTCATGAGGCGCTGTCTGCATAGCCATCCTGCTTTCCTCCTGCCTCCTCCCTTCTTCACCGAGCGCGTTCCACTACTCGCAAAGTGCCTACTGCACTCGCAGGCGTCCGAAAAGCAGATGTTCCCCTCGATGCAGCATATCGTTACTCCCCCCGGCGGATCCTGGCCATCTGCGAGTAGTTACTCTGCGAGCAGTGGAAGGCGCTCGCCTACTTCTGCCTCCCCCCTCCTGCTTCCTCCCCCCCGCCCCCCTTGGCTTGTCCCGCGCCACCCTCGGGCGACAGAGTCGGGCTGGGCGAAAGGGGGGGATTGGGAAAGGGGGGGTTACGAAATTTGCTGGATGCAGCTGGTTTCGGCCTCACCGAGGGGCCCATTCCTCGATACATAGCCGCCTCCGGCGCCGGGAGGCGCCAGGAAAATTAGCTACGTGAGCTGATTCTCAAACCCCCCCTTTGCTATCCCCCCCTTTCGCCCGACCCGACAGGAGCGCTCTGGCAGAACCGCCGCAGCCACGTCTTCTCTTATGAAGGGGGGCCTCTTCGGCAGTGCTGTCGAATTGCGCCATCGGATGCACATGGTGGGAGGTAAAATTCTGCTTTTGCCCCGGCCCGAGATCCGGCTGCCCACCCCGGCGTAACAGCCCCCCCCCCAATGGGGCTGAGTCTTCCGCAGTCCTTCGGACGAAGACGTCCCAGTAGTTGCTTCGTAACGCTATCAGGCAAAATTGATTCTCAGCCTGAGAGCATTCTCAGTGTGAGCGAATCGCCAACCAATCTGCGACCAAGTCATGATCATAGCGAGCAGCATTCGCGACGCATCCCCTCTAATTCTCCAGCACGATAATATTTCAGGCACCCGTAACAACGTCGAGGAGATGCTCACGTGTGTACAGTACAGAGGAGGCGGCGTCTTAAACATCATAACCAATTAGCCAGCTAACGCAAGCAGCACAACACAACAACGAATGTCAGGCGTACAGTGGGGACCCATGCCAAGAAACACCCTGCTCGCCTCCAGGGTGCCCTGGGTTTCTTGGGCTTCGGTGGCTTGGCTGTGGAAAGCGTGACGTCCCCACACAGGAAATCAGTGGAGGTCCTGGGGTCTCAGGGCTGGGCTTCCTGTGGAGAGTTTCTCGTGGTCGGGCCCCTGCTGCATGTGCACGCGTGCACACGGCAAGCTCGGGGGGCGCCTGCTCCGGGCCCCCCCGGCAGGTGGACGGCACCCGGTTTTTCGCCGTGCCCGCCGTGCTCACGCTCCTCCAGCTGCTGAACGAGTACGTCCGGCTCTGCCGGCGGGCTCCGCGATTGGGGGGGCGCGCGGCAGTGCTTCCGGAAGGGAGAACCAGTATCGTTTCACCGATCGTTATTCAGGAGGGAAAGAAACACACAGACAGAATTAATCGTCGACTCCCAGGAAAATATGGGAAAATATGGGAAGTGGAGGGGAAGACAGAAACCCAGAAAATATGGGAAAATATGTGGAATCTTTTTATTTGTGTGTATTTATTTGTGTGTCCTGGGGCCCCTTCAGTTATCCGTACACAGAGCCCCACCATCCCACCGCCCCGGTTTGGGACAGGTCCCTCGAAACCCGAACGGAGCAGGCTGTATCCCCATCCAGGGGGGTCAATCGCCCAGTGGGGCCCAGGCAACGCCGATGGGCATGGGGATGGGCTAAGCCATGCTCGGAGAACGCATAGAAGGCTTACGACGACCAGAGTTGACCTGATGGAAACGCATGTAGGGGACGGAGGGCAAGTCGGAACGGAGGCGAGCCCCAGGCGGACCTGAGAGAATGGGTGGGGCGAAAGAAGATACAGGGCGACGAAGAGGGAGGCAGAGAGAGAGAGGGAGAGATATCTCAGCGACAGGAAATCATGGCGCCAGCCAGCCCGCAGGTGCCGCGCTGACATGTCATCCTTCGAGGCTGTCAGTTGAGAGGGGCCCAGGAAGCAACCAAGAGGCCCCCAAGAGGGGCAACTCGCGTTGACAGCGCTGCACCCAAGGCATTGCACCCGAGACAGCTGGCAGGCGCCCCCCTCGGAGACCCTCGGGCGGCCCACGGGACCCCCGCGCCCTAAAGAGACCCCCGCAAAAGTGCTCCCAAGAGGCCGCGAACACGCCACGAGGAGGCCCCCAAGAGGCCCCCCTGCGACCTGGGCACAGCGACGCTGTTGGCCGGAGGCCCCTGGATGCAGCTCGCAGTGCACATGCAATGAGAAAGCATGTTGCAAGAAGTCCAGGTCTCGGGGGCTTTTTGGGCCGTCATGGACGCCTGAAGGACAGGAACCGCGCACGCGATGAACATTCAACAACTGACGCCTTTTGTCAATGAGCCGGGCCTCTCAAGCTGGCCCCCACGACGCCCCCAGGGGGCCTGCAAGAGAGCCCCAGGACGGTCTTGTCAGGCGATCGATGGCCCCTGAGCCTATTTCACGTTTCTTGGGAGGCTCCAGGGCGGAAAGGAACCGATGTTGGTCGGGTTGGGCCATCCCGACGGCCTCCCCCTTCAACATCGCCATCTGGGTCCAGAAAATCGCGATGGATTCGGTCCCTGCGACGACGATGCCCCCGCAGGCAACATCCTCAATCCAACACCCCCAATCGCGGATCACGTGCAGCAGGACCTCAAGCCACAGTCCTCAATCCAATAGCCGCAGGCAACATTTTCAATCTGCACAAAACCATCCTCCGCCCTGGATCCTGGATCATCATCACCCTCGAAGTTGGCAGAACGTGCAGCGTCCCGAGTCCTCGATCCTGGAATATCCTGGGTCCTCGATGTCCCGGACCCGGGGCCCAGGACCCTCCTATGGACCCTGGACCCCTGGAGAGAACCTGGCGAGAGACGTGCGGCAGCCTCGACCCTGCCTATCCTCGACCCCCCAGACCCCCGACGTAATGTTTTTTTCATTACGTCGACCCCCATAGGTCCCGACCCTTTCCCCATGACCGGCTTTGCATCCTGAGTCGTTTTTTGACGCTCCCGAGGCCCGGTGAGGGCCCCCGGAGGCCGAAAATTAGGAAAAACCTCCCGTCATGATTTTTTCATTACTCGAGGGGGCCTGGGCCCCGCATAGCTCGGCCGCGCCGCAGGGCCTTCGAGTCCATGGCGGCGGAGATCGTCCAGCGCATGTGCACGCTGCTCAGGCGCCGGCCGTGCTCGGCCCCGCCCGCCCCGCGGGGGGGCCGCCCGGCGCCCTCTCCGCACGAAGGCGGCGGCGCGCCTCCGGCCGGAGGGCGCCGCCCTCGGCCGCGCGTCGGCCCGGGAGGGCGTGCTGGCAGCCGGGCCGAGGGACCTCGGGGGCGGAAAAGAGGGGGGTGATGACTAGGGGGGGGGTGGATATCATGGCGGGGGCCATGATATTTCCTCGGACGTCATGGCGCCTCTTCTTGTTTCATTGCGTCCCCGGCCCCCCCGCTGGGCCGCGCACATGCCGCCGGTCACGATTTGCACCCCCCCCTCTTGGACACCCCCCTCTTGGCCGCTCCCGAGGACCGAGGGGGGTGCGAGGCTCGAGGGTTAAGTCGGGCCTGTCTAAAACGACGCGAAGATCGGGACAAAATCGGATCGGGATGACTCGAAATCTTTGAGAATCGGCGGGTTTGGAGGATGTATTGGGCGCCGCGGCCGATCCAGAGCGTTCCGGAACGCTCTGAGAGCGCTCCGGAACGCTCTGGAACGATTTATCCTGTTTCTAGCCCTGTTTTACTGTCACCCTATACAGGGGGATTTGGGACGGAAGAAGTGAAAATACACAGAACATGCCCCCAAAATGGTGAACAGATGCTCAAAAGAGAGTCCCCATATGATTTTTTGACTACTTGGGGATATTCCTCCTGTGGAGGGACACGCCCGACTTTACTCGAGGTTCGAGGCGTTCGGGTTCGAGGTCCGAGGCTTTCGGCCGCCCGCGTCGGTGCTCGGCGGATGTCCGGCCCTGCGCCTCGCCGAGAGCGTCCCAGGGGGGCCGGAAGGGTCGCGGACGGCCGCCGGAGGCCCGAGTTTGACCCCCAAACCCGAGGTTTGACCCCCAATTCGAGGTCGGTTCGGGGAGGGTGCCCTCGGGTTCTGCGTGCTTGCTGGGAGGGCACACCTGGGCTGTGCTGTGCGTTTTGGCCGGCGGAGGGTCTGGTGCTCTTGGCGGTTGTTCTTCTGGCGTAGATTAGGGCCGACGGACTGTACCCCGTTTAGCTCTGCCGATGGCGCGCAGCCTGTTTCGGCCCTCGTTGCGCCGCCTTCGGGGGACCTCGCCTGTCCCCCAAACTGGATTATTTTCTTGTGCCCGACGCGGGCTCGACGCGGATTTGGCGCGTACTCGACGCGGATGTGACACGGATTCGACACGTATCCGACGAGGTCGACATGGACTCGGCACGGATTCGACGCGGGTGTGCCCGCGACGAGACAGACAAGGTTCTTTGAGGATGCAGCATAACGTTCGATGATCGTCAGTGTGTGTGTGTGTGTCAGCCTTCAGTCGGGCATGTCCCTCCACAGGAGGAATATTCAAAAATAGTCAAACATAGTCCGCAGCCGATTTTTGGAGTGTTTTTTTGACTCTTTTCGAGCATGTTTGGAATCTATGTTTTTCCAAAAAAAAATCCATCTGTAGGGGGGCACGCCCGACCTCGTGTTAGCGCAAGCCATCGTCATCCCGAGGGGAAGCCGAGGCGGACAGAGACGGGAGGGGGCGGAAGGCAGGAGAGGGCGCACGGTGGCAGCGTGCGGGCGGGAGCGGCGAAGTGTGCGGGGAGAGGGCTTGTGTCGGTGGCGGTGATTCGGAGAGACATGAGGCAGAGGACGACGACGGTGATGGCGAGGATGACGACGGTGATGACGAGGATGATGATGATGCTGCTGAGGATGATGATGCTGATGATGATGCTGATGATTAGGATGATCAGGATGATGGTGGTGATGATGGTGACGATGCTGATAATGGTTATGGTGATGCTGCTGCTGTTGGTGCTGATGATGGTGATGATGGCGAGGATGATGATGTCGATGATGATGATGATGATGATGATGATGGTGATGATGATGCTACTGATAATGATGATGATGATGATGATGATGATGATGATGGTGCTTATGATGTGGCTGATGATGATGCTGATGATATTGTGATGGTGATGATTATGATGATGATGCTGATGATGATGATGTTGGTGCTGACGGTGCTTATGATTATGCTGAGGATGATGATGAGATGATGATGACGATGACGATGATGATAATGACGACGACGACGACGACGACGACGACGACGACGACGACGACGACGACGACGACGACGATGATGATGATGATGATGATGATGATGATGATGATGCTGATGATGATGATGACGATGGCGATGACGAGGGCGATTGCGATGACGATGACGATCGGCCGACCGCGCGCAGCCTGCTGCGGCCCTCGCCGCGCCGCCTGCGTCGTGTTGCGGCGCCTCGGCGGGCGAGCACGCCCTGGCGCGCTAACTGTTGGAGTCGGCGGGCGCCGACTCCAACAGCGATCCTTCCTCCTCCTCCTCCTCCTCCTCCTCCTCCTCCTCCTCCTCCTCCCCTCCTCCCTCCCTTCCTCCTCCTCCTCCTCCTCCCCTCCTTCCTCCTCCTCCTCCTCCTCCTCCTCCTCCCCTTCCTCCTAATAAGGACGCGCGACTCTGCTCAGGGTACCCTTGCGTCCTTGCTCTTCCTTGCTCTTGCGTCCTTGGGGTTTTCGTCGTCCGCCGCCCCAGAAATCCCCCAACTTCGGCTTCCAAGGGTCTCGCGTCCTTGCCGCGCGTCCTTTTTAGGGTTTTTGATTGTAACTGTTGGAGTCGGCGGGCGCAAGCGGGTCGAGGCCGGTGCGGGCGCCGGGCGGGCAGCGGGCGGGACTGGCCGGGAACGAATTTCAAACAGTGGCGAAGCGTCCTGGCTCGCCTTAGCCCCACCAAACATTGTCTAAGAACCTTATGTGGCTATCTTAGAACATTTCTGGCTGGGACTGTCTTGTTTTAACACATCGGGTTTATGTTCTAAGAACATTGTTTCCGTTCTTAGAACATTCTTGGGTTCTGAGAGCATTTCGTGCTATGACTATAGGAATGCAGGGACGATCGGTCCCTGCTCAAAATTGGGGCACAGACAGCGAAGAAGGACGCAGGGAATTCGGCTGCACGTAGGAGTGACCCTTGGCTGGAGTGACCTTTGGTGCGGGCCCAATGCGGCCCCCCAGTCGCCGAAACTCGCCGAGTGCGAGACGTTGGCGGCGGCTTGCATGCCTGTGTTTGGCCCCGCGGCGGCCCCCGCTAAGCGTGTCACTCTTGCGTGTAGCCGAGGAATGGGGAACAGAGGCGGGAGCCATTCAGAACGTGTAGTCCTGCGCGGGCGTGCCGACAGTGTGCAGGAGCGCAGGACGTTGACGCTGACGCGTTCTGAGGATCCCCGAGACGCGCGTCTTTTCTTCATTTTCGGCTTCTGGGGGGCTCTTGCCAGATCCCCAGGCTGCCAAAAAGCGGCCTGGGTGAGAAATGCCCGTGCCGAGCCCCAGGGCCGCCAAACAGCGACAAAGGATGAAAAACTGGCTTCGGGGAGGGGGTCGAGACCTCCGCGGGTGTCGACGTGGTGAAGCGATCGACGTCGGAGGTCTGAGGTCTGAGTGTTCTGTTTAGTTGATCGCCTCTCACCGGTGCCTCTTGTGTTTTTGCAATTGAATGTCCCCGTCGGCTCTATGACATTTGTTTCCCGTGGAAATATAGATTTTCAAATCGTGCCCCTGGGCCCCCAGACTATACGAACGGCCCCCGCCGAAAACTTCCTCACACTTTATGTTGAAGCCGCGTCATTGCTCGAAACGTCCTTGCAATTCACTCATGCATCGTGCTCTCGCCAGAGATGGCCCCAACATATGTTCGAGAATCGCGGCCCCGCCTAGTTTCGACCCTTGCGCGATTCACTCAAGATTCGTACCTTCGCCACGAAATGCCGACACTTCCACGACTCGCGCTCTTGCCTGGGACTGCCTCTCGGTCTGTGCATATCCAGCGCGTGAGTGTCCCGGTGGTCATGGTCTCCTCCTCCTCTTCCGCCTCCTCCGCCTCTGCCTCCTCCTCCTCTTCTTCCTCCTCCTCTTCCTCCTCCTCCTCCTCCTCCTCGTCCTCCTCCTCCTCCGCATGCCAGTCTGACCTGATCCGTGCCGCCATGAGATCAAAACTATTGGACTGTATGGAAGATTGGATCATAGCTGCCAGTCGATCGGATGAAGCCACACTCGCCGCTCTCGCCCGTTCCTTCCACCCAGACTCCGTTGTTTGCCACATGTCTCGTGCCCGCCGCCATTACCATTCCATCCCCACTGCCATCATCGACGCCCCGCCCACAATGTTGCAGAGTAAGATCTATTATTGTCTCCGTGCCCATCCCGTTCCTCTCGCAGGCGAGCTGGTGCGTGCCCGAGCTGTGTACTGGACTACTCCCCCCATCCAACCTCAGCATAGTGATCGTA